TTTCCCAGCCTGTGAGATGGCTAGGGCCACTGGAAATGTACCATTCTAGGCCACGCCCTCCATAAGACTCACCAAACGGACTAGAGCATCCTGAAGCACTGGAGTAGCTATGAATCCTTCCGGAACCTGAACTGGTCTGACTGGTATATTCTGAACTGGAACCTCGTCCTAAAGATCCACCTGAGGTTCTACAACAGGTGTAGTTGCCCGAGCTCTAAACTTAGCTCTACCTCTGCCTCTGCCTCTGCCTCTAGCACGACCTTGGCCTCGACCTCTACCCTCTGGCCATAGTTGCCACCATGGGCTCTGGTCTCTGTCCATCGGTAGATGTATTACGTGTTCTCACCATCTGCGAGAGAATAAGAGTAGAATGGTTCAATCATCGATGATAGAATAAAATCACACGACAGAATAAGAAAGAAGCGATATTATTCATAAACTTCATAGCCTCTAAGAGATAAGTACAGACGTCTCCGTACCGATCCTTCAGACTCTACTAAGCTTGCGCGTGACTCATGAGACCGATGTAACCTAACGCTCTAATACCAACTATCACGACCCAAAATTCCCACCTTCGGACCGTGATGGCGCCTAACATTTCACTTACTAGGCAAGCTAACGTTAGAATAATATTATCTATTTTAAAATAATTTTTATATTTATTAATAATAAATAAATAAATGCGGAAGTAAGGTCTGCCTCTGCCTCGGCCTCTAGCACGACCTTGGCCTCGATCTCTACCCTCTGGCCATAGCTGCCACCGGGGGCTCTGGTCTCTGTCCATCGGTAGATGTATTACGTGTTCTCACCATCTACGAGAGAATAAGAGTAGAATGGTTCAATCATCGATGATAGAATAAAATCACACGACAGAATAAGAAAGAAGCGATATTATTCATAAACTTCATAGCCTCTAAGAGATAAGTACAGATGTCTCCGTACCGATCCTTCAGACTCTACTAAGCTTGCGCGTGACTCATGAGACCGATGTAACCTAACGCTCTAATACCAACTATCACGACCCGAAATTCCCACCTTCGGACCGTGATGGCGCCTAACATTTCACTTGCTAGGCAAGCCAACGTTAGAATAATATTATCCATTTTAAAATAATTTTTAAATTTATTAATAATAAAGAAACAAATGCGGAAGTAAGGTCTAAAATGTATTGAATAATGCATAAAAATAACGGTGTCTAAATATTATCCCAGAATTAGTGTCACAAGTGCACGAGCTTCTAGAATAATACAAATAAAGGTCTGAATAAAATAAAGCTATCTGAAAACAAACACACAGCTAAAGTAAAGTAGACGGGGACTTCAGAAATACGGACGCCGTGCAGTTATACCTCAAGTCTCCCCTGGTAGCTGAAATCCGAGCAAGTCTATGGTACGCCGTTGGGACCAACTCCAAAATCTGCACAAGAAGTGCAGAGTGTAGTATCAGTACAACCGACCCCATGTACTGGTAAGTGCCGATCCTAACCTCGACGAAGTAGTGACGAGGCTAAGGCAGGTCATTTACATTAACCTGTACGCAATAATAGTAATAACCACAATAATAGAATTAAATTGGGTAACTAATTTCTAATAGTTGAAGCCATCTCACCAGTCATAACTAATTATTATTTCAATCAATTTTCGTTGCAGCGTGCAAACCACTCCCACAACATATTCATTTTCAATCCTCCCATATATTTATTTTAATCAAGTATATATAGACTTTTAAATAAGTTTATTGCTGCGAGCAACCCCATCCCCCAATATGGACTTTTAATAAGTCTGTTGCGGCGTGCAACCCGATCCCCCAATATGAACTTTTAATAAGTCTGTTGCGGCGTGCAACCTGATCCCCCGATATATTCATTTCAATCAATTATGTTGCGGCGTGCAACCCGCTTCTCCAATATATTTTATTTACTTATTCTTATAGAAGAAATTGTCCCAATAAATGCAATAATTATTATAAAAATTTTAAGACAACTAGCATACAATAATTATAATTTAATTATGAAACAAACAATGACAAATAACAATTTGTTATGGAAATCAGGGAGAAAATAGGCAGTTTACTATTTAATATGCTAAATGCCAAGTAGAAATTAATGCACATAAATCAAATCAACATGTAGCAATTATTGTAGGAATTCAAGAATTAATATTTGACAAAGAATAGGAGAGAAATAATTATCATAACAATTAATTCGTGTATTAAAACAAATTTAGGATTTTCAAATAATTATGCAAATAATTAACTTGACTACGTATAGACACTCGTCACCTCGCCTATACGTCGTTCACATTAATTTTACATAACAAATAATTTAAGGATTCTATTCCCTCAAGTCAAGGTTAGCCGCGATACTTAACTTGCTTTGTAATTTCAATCAATTACTCGACCACAACTTTTCCTTTTAAATTTATCTCCAAAAGCTTCAAATCTATTCACAAACAATTCGATATACTCAATACGAATCATAGGAATTAATTCCATATGAATTTACTAATTTTTCAGATAAAATCCGAAATTCACTTTAAAAATTGACAGTGGAGCCCACGTCTCAAATCTCGAAAAAAACTTACGAAATTCGAACACCCATTTCGAGGCGAGTCCAACCATACAAAAATTATCAAATTTCAATGTCAAAAGGACCTTCAAATCTTAAATTATTATTTTTGGAGGATTTTATAAAAATCTGATTTTTCTCCCAAACTTTCACGGATTCATGATATAAATGAGCATAAAATCATGAAATATAATCAATATAGGATAAAAAATACATACCCCAATATTTTTCCGTAAAAATCGCCAAAGAATTACCTTACCCGAGCTCAAAAATGGACAATGGTTGAAAAATGGGATGAATCCCATTTTGCAAAACTTAAGTTATGTTTCTCGAATTTTTACCCTTCGCGAACGCGGTCAGTGCCTCGCGTTCGCGAAGTACAAATTTATGCTTTCCAATTTTACCCTTCGCGAACGCGAAACTTGCCTGGCTTGGCCTTCGCAAACGCGAGCTGCCCTTCGCGAACGCGAATTCAAATTTCTCTCCGGTCATTTACCCTTCGCGAACGCGAAGCTTTGTACCTCGACCCTTCGCGAACGCGTTCCCTCTGTCGTGAACGCGAAGCACAAAACGTGCTAGTCTAATTTACTTTTCGCGTTCGCGAGAGTACCTTCGCGAACGCGAAGAAGAACACACCAGAAGCCTAAAGTCTGCAGCAAACCAGAATTTTCTAAGTCCGAAATTATCCCATAGCCTATCCGAAACTCACCTGAGCTCTCGGGGCTCCAAACCAAACATGCACCCGAGTCCTAAAATATCATACGAACTTGCTCGCGTGATCAAATTGCCAAATTAACACCTAGAACTACGAATCAGACACCAAATCAAAGAAAATTTTCAAGAAAATTTTAAAACTTATATTTTCACAACCGAACGTCCGAATCACGTTAAATTAACTCTGTTTCTCACCAAATTCGGCAGACAAGTCATAAATATTATAGTGGACCTATACCGGGCTTCGAAACCAAAATACTGACCCGGTGTCAATAAATCCAATATTAGTAAATTCTTAAAAATCATTAAGCTTTCAAATTTTTAATTTTTCATCAAAATTCCATATCTCAGGTTAGGGAATTCGGAATTCTATTCCGGGCATATGCCCAAATTTCAAATCACGATACGGACCTACCGGAATTGTCAAAATACTGATCCGAGTCCATTTGCTCAAAATATTGACCAAAGTCAATTCAGTTGAGTTTAAAGCTCTATTTCACATTTTAATCCATTTTTCACACAAAAACTTTGCGAAAAATCATACGGACTGCGCATGCAAGTCGAGAAATAATAAATAGTGTTTTTCGAGGTCTTAGAACACATAATTACTTATTAAATTTAAAGATGACATTTTGGGTCATCACAATATCGTATTGGGGCGGGATGGATGAAATGGCGACTCGCTTACGGTATTTTGTGTGACAAGAAGGTGCAGCTGAAATTTAAGGGTAAGTTTTATAGAGTGGTGGTCAGATCAACGATGTTGTATGTGGCTGAGTGTTGACCAGTCAAGATCGCTCATGTCCCGAAGATGAAGGTAGTAGAGATGAGGATGTTGAGATGGATGTGCGGGCACACCATGTTAGATATGATCAGAAATTAGGTTGTTCATGACAAGGTGGGTGTGGCCCCTATTGAGGACAAGATGTGAGAAGCGCGGCTTAGATGGTTTGGTCATGTGAGGAGAAGGAGCACAAACACTCCTGTGATGAGGTGTGAGAGGTTGATAGTGGAGGGCCTACGGAGTGGTAGAGGTGGGCCAAAGAAGAGGTGGGGAGAGGTGATTAGGCAAGAAATGACACAACTTCAATTGACCGAAGACATGACCCTTGATAGGAATGTATGGAGGTCAATGATTAGGGTAGTAGAGTAGGTAGTCTAGAGTGTTCATAACAATAATATTGACACGTAGTCTCGCTTTCTGTTGGTAGTAGGTTTTTATGACTAACCGTTGTTTTCTTTCATTGTTGATCATCTTACTATCTCTTTGTTTTTATTCTGCTTTTATATAGTTTTTGGTAGTATCCCTTCTTGTCTATATTTTCATTAATGTGGTGCTTATGTTTTCATGAGCCAATGGTCTATTGAAAACAACATCTCTACCCTCACAAGGTAGGGGTAAGATCTGCGTACACACTAACCTCCTTAAACCTCACAATGTGGATAATACTGGGTATATTGTTGTTGTTGTTTGTAACCATAATTATGTTAAGAGGCGGAACTGGAATATAATAGAAATTCATACACGTTAACTCTTAAATTTGCCTATATGTCATGTACATGTACATACATGGGAACTTTTTTTAAACCCAAAAGCCAAAATAGCACATACGAAATCTATATAAGAGCAAAGAAATTATAAAGAAATACAATTCTTACAAAAATAGACAAGATTATAATGTATCTTAACTCCATTCCTGCAAAATTTTGGTTAAAATAGTCACCTTTTCCTTCTTCTGGCAATCTTCATAGTACCAAAAAACCCGACCCGTTTCTGCAAATCTTCTCTCAACAAAAATCCTAACAATGCCGCACAACAGCAGAACCCTAATGCCCAATCCGAAACCCTTCTTTTCCACACATTAACTGAAAACCCAAAAAGGGTTAAACTTAAACCCCCCCAAAACACATCAATTTCCAATTCCTTGGCCAAAATCAACCACCATCCCACACCACAAATTACCAAAAAGACCCAAAATCCCCAATTTATCTTCTTTCTTCTTCTCCACCCATCAAATCCATGACCGCTCCAAAACCTAAACCCACCTCCATTTCCACCTCCAAATTCTCTTATAATTGAATCCAATGGCTCTGGCAAAATATTGAGCTTTGACGCAATGAAGTAGGCTGATTCTAGCATGATTTTGGTTGATCTGACGAATCCGGATTGCCTTTTGTGTTTCCTCATTGACGCAATTGGTTTCTGCAAATTGAAATGGAAATGGGAAAGTACGGCATGTTTGGGAAATGGATAGGAATAGTAATTTCTTGAAGGAAAATCAATTGTCTTCTGAATTGGATTTGAGAAGAGTGAAGGGTCTGAGAAAATATACTTAACTTGAGTACTCTGCATTTCGCTCTACTCTGAAAATTACTGGTGTTTTGAACTACTCTTTTGCTTTTGTCTCCGTCTCTTTTAGGCTAATTTGATAAATGGAAAAAGGAAGAATAATAATAAGAAGACGAATACAGCCAGCCTTTACATTAGACATTGCGGATTGCAGTAAAATTCTCATATAACTAATTAATAAATAATTTGATTGTGTAAAAATTTTATACCGTTATTACATATAATGTAAGGGGTGAGATAAGAGATTATAATTCAGGGATTAGATGCGAGGTTTTTTTTTATCCCACGTTTAGTTTAAATTTTTGAATTCAAAATTAGCAATTTCGAGATTAATTTATCTCACAATTATGGTATTATTTTATCCCATATTAAGGGTGGGATCATAATTTCGTAATTAATTAGTTCCTAGATAAACACAAAACTGAAAACAATCTAAAGTTAGAATGAAAAATAAAAATTTATTCCAACTTATCTAGTATATATCAAACACATATTATATTATACCTACTATATCTCATTTTAGTCCAATAAACCAAATATCTACCAATAAAATATATTTACTAAATAATTATGTCATTATTTAATCCTCGTATTATAATATCATCATTATAATCCGAAATAACTTATTTTTCTGCTAACCGACCCCTTATTAATGACGTAGTTAACTGGTATATAATAAAGTTTAAATTATCTACATCATGCGTGTAAATAATGTTTATATCATTAGATTACCTTTACTTTTTGTAACATGTTACATATCTTACCTTCAAAAATTATAAATATCAAGTTGACATATGAATATACTTTGAATGTTATGATAGTATAAATATGTCAAAATACATAAAGATCCCATTAAACTTGTTCAAAAAATAGGTTTAAATATTTAAACTAAACGGATAATCTTTTACCACATATTTTTGTTCGGAGTGAATTAAATATCAACCTAAAAGCTAATATAAAAGAAAAGGAAAAAGGAAATAAAATAAAAGCGCGTAAAATTTTTTAAAAAAAGTGAGCCCGCTAATAATATGTAATAAAAATAAATAAAAAATAAGATTGACCCCTCTCATTTTTTTAACCTACCACGTGCCTTCTTTCTCCTTCTTCTAATCCCCTCCCCCCTTCCTTCTTCTCCATTAGCCCAGCTCCTCATTTTCTTTCTTCTTTTTTGTTCAAGTTTTGTCCTTTCTCACTACTACTCATCTTCTTTCTTTTTCTTTTTTGTAATAATTTTTTCCTTTCCCACTATCTGCTCGATCTTCTTTCTTCTTCCTTTTTTCTTTTAATCTTTTTCTTTCTCACCATCTGCCTCATCTTCTTTCTTCTTCTTTTTTATTAAGTCCCAACATATTAAGAATATGATAATGAATTTTTCTTTGTTCTAAAAATTAAGAAATTAATATAGCATTTTTTCATATTTTCTCTGTTACGGTTAATTGAACAAGAAAAAATCATAATGGATGTTGAAGATTGAAATGAAAAATTAAAAATAATTAATATGATAAGATAACGAAACAAAAAAAGAGGAGAGTGAACCAAGATCGAAGGAATTTAAATTTGCAGTGTATATACGGATGAGAATTCGATGAAAAAAATATAATTAAGAGGAATTTATTAATTAATTAGAGATTTATTAGTGTATTAAATAAAGAGTAAGAAAAAAAATGTGAATAGACAAAAAAGAAACGAAAAGGTTAAAAAAAATCAAAATTTAGATAATTTCTGACGTGACTCTAACGTGGTGCTGATATGGTTATAACGTGGTGCTGATGTGGCAATGATGTGGCGCGTGTGTAAAGCACCTCACATTGTGAGACTAGTATTATAATGTTAGGGTGACATTTAATTCACTCCGAACAAAAATAAGTAAAGAACACCCGTTTAGTTTAAGCGTTCAAACATGTTTTTTGGACAAGTTTAATGTGATTTTTATGTATTTTGCCTATAAATATTTTCGTGCATTAACCATATAGTATATTATTTTAACTCAGTGTATTATACCTTAGGATAATGAATGCAAGGACTATAAAACTATTCCTAAGTTGTATAGTACATATTTTTCAGGAGAGTCGAGTAGAAATGCAATAACCTCAATTAACTAAGCCATAATATCTGTCTTTACTTAAGCTTGACTTCAATTAACTAGTCTCCCTCCAAAAAATTCAGATCAAAATTATAGTTTTGTTTTGTATTTAATTACTCCACTTGCTCAAATACTCTTTTTGATGAACTTTTATTTCCTCTATCTGCCCATCTAAGATGAACTGTTAATTTTTGAAGGAGTGGGAAAGAAAACATTTGAAAAGAAATAAAATAGAGAAAGTAAACAAAAGTCATTTTCTTCGTTTCCTTTTTTGGTTTAAAAGTAAATTAGAGGAAGATATAAATGTTAAGTCCTTACCTCCTTTTTCCTTCTTTTTTTCCCCCATAGTTTTCAAACAAAGGTTTTAAAAGTAAAGATTTCAGACATAGAACATGAAAAATGTAGAGTTGAGAGTTCCAACATTGAAAATTAAAAGACCATAAAATAGTGACGGTTCAAGGGAAGTGTCAACATCCCTTCCCTAAAAAGGTATTTTTGATCAGTCAATAAAGGAGCTCTATTAATTTTTTTTTGTGGTCACTTTCTGCAAATTTACAGAGAATAGTACTTACCAATTTTCAAAAATGGTCCATAGTAAAACTATTACATATAGTAATCCAGTAGGGACTAATAAAGATGACATATTTTACATGACTGAATGATTTGTGACTGCTACTCTAAAACCCTAACCCTAACCCTAAATTTTTAACCTAATACAATGGAGGTAATAGGATTAGAGTTATCCTTTCATCTTGTTTGCTCATAAACGTGTGTGCCCACACGTGAGCAGCTTAGAGTATATTGGTCTCTCTTGCATGGTAGCAACTAGAGTGAGAGACGGACAAAGATTTGAAGGTAGCGGGGCACATGAGCGAATTTTTTCAACAAATGTCTCATCAAACTTTTGATATGCTTAGAATTTTTGTCGAGGTTAACGGCGTCCGATAATCCCTCTTCTCCATACATAAGTTCGCCTCTCACTAGAGAGGGTTTATATTTACTGTAGTGGGAGATCTTTTGTTGTTTTGAAAATATACTTATTCCATTTCATTTCACAAGCACGAGAAAGACTTTTGACATATACTAAAAGTATCTTAGAACTCGTAATTTTAAATAAACCATGACACTTCTATGACTCTTTAAAAACATGTCATTGACTATAAAATAAGAATTTTAAAATTTTAAATATAAAAATGTGTTATTCATTTAAAACATGTTTAAAAGGAAGAAAGTCATATAAAATGGCATAGAGGGAGTAAGCCAATTGGTCTAGAATTTTTTTAAAAACTATTTGGCTAAAACATCAAAACTATTTACTTATAAATTGAAAATAGACTATATATTTGGAAATCAAACCACAACGATTTATCAATCCTACAATTTAAAGGTAAATAAAATAGTGCAAGTTTTTCCATGTGAATAACAATGTCGGTGGAGCATAAATTGTGCATAATGCAAGTTTTGCCAACCCGGTATGATTTGTGAGTAATTTAGCAAGAAATGTAGAATGAAGATTATACTAGAGTTTGTGAAACCATAATTTTTCACTCTTCAAAGTGTGTATCGCCTGAGGTTATTTTTACACAAACTAATAACAAATTAAATAGCGGTGTGTAGACAGTGGCAGAGCCACATGCACTCACACTCCTACGTCGAAAAATTATACTGTGTAGCTGGGTAATTTTAAAAAAAATGTATATATACTATATATTGACACTTCTTGACTTCTTGGTGAGTTTATTTCTTTATATTTTGACTCCCCTTAATAAAAATTCTGGCTCCGCCACTGGGTGTAAAAAAATCCTACTTTTAAAAATCATTTTAGTACTAGGCCATCCTTACTTTTTTGCCACAAAATGGATTAACATCTATAACTAGAGACTAGAGAAACTCAGAGCCCAACCCATTCCTCAGATTTCCAATAGGCCTATGATGTTTAGGCTAGCTAATACCAGCTAATTCAGCCCATATCTCATCTCAGGGCCCACTCTTGCAAGTTTTTTTTAATCTACATTTTATCATAATGTTGATACTCTAAAGACTGTCAAAATTACGTGACATTATTCCATAATTGTCACATCCTTACTAGAAATGTTATTTTGAAAATTTAAAATTAGTAAGAAATACTTTTAGAAACAACACATATCCTTTAACAAAAAGTAAAATCTATTTTTAAAATCTATGGAGTTAAAAATTTACAACCACAATGTGAAGGGGAACAAATGAAAACAAATATAAGTAGGCCTGTGTATAATTTGGTAAATATCGAATTACCATATCGAAATCAAAAATTTTGGTATTTGGTATTCGATATTTTGGTATTCGGTATGGTATTTGATTTATGTTTTAAAAATAATTTGGTATTAGGTATGGTATTTGGTATTTGAAAATAAAATACCGATACCGTACCGAAATATATATTAAATTACACAATACACATATTATTAATTATAACATAAATATAAAAAATTTAAAATTTAACTTTTCTTTATTTTATAAATTCATCAATTAACTCTAAGCAAGTAACAAGACATTTCTACTAACCAAATTTATTTCTTTATGTACAATTTTCTCTCTCTGGGCTGATATTTGCTTGTTTTGGACAAAACTTTTGTCAACAAATATTTTTAGTTTTGTACTTTTGAGTGCTTTAATTAAGAATATTACAGTCTGTGACTCTACGCACTAGTTAGTATTCAAACCGAATAAACTGAAGTTACCGAACCGAATAAATCGAAACCGAAAGGAGAAAAATCGAACCATACCGAATTTAATTAGGTACGGTATTGATATAACATTTTAAGAAATCGAATACCGAAAATACCGAACCGAAATATCTAAATACCATACCGTACCGACCAACAAACACCCATAAATATAAGTGAGTCATCAGCCCATCGTACAAAAAGTTAAAAAAGAA